CACCAGAGCTCCTTATTCACCCTAACAGAGCTTGCTAAATAGAGAGAAAGCGGACACAGCAAAGCAAGCTAAGCAATAGACAGTGACAAATTTCTGATAGCATCGTTTGTGCTGCTGGGTCCAGTGAGACCTGAAACCCTTAACCTAAATAATGATAATACTAAGTAAAGTACTTTTTGTGTTTAAGCCAATTTGAGCTCGTTTTCAGAATGAGATCCTGCAAACACAGTTCTCCGGTCCCACAGTCTACATAAGCATCTCTCTTCCAGTATTGCCAGCATCCTGCATCTGCCTCTGCTTGAATTTGCTCAAAACAGGAAACTCAGCTGACCACACTGTCCACACCACCTTGGATGCTCTAGGGGGTTTCAACGATGAGTTGGAATCGACCCAATGGCAGAGGGTTTCGGTTTGGTGCCCACTAGCCATAAAAGCCTTTCCCTTTCCATCCAAAACTTCCCCTCCCTGGAAGCCTAGTTCAAGCCTGTCACTTTGGGAATAACAACTTCACTTCGTTGAGCACTAACTCTGAGCCTGATCCAGTATTAAATACTTGACCTCTATTATCTTACTTGACTCTCACACTTGTTGTTGTTGTTGTTGTTAAGTGCCGTCGAGTCGTTTCCACATGTTGTCAGTGGTGTAATCCACTTGTTAGGTGCCGTCAAGTTGGCTGTGACTCTGAGTGACCCCGTGGACAACAGAACGAAACACTGCCTGGTCCCGTGCCAGCCTCGCAATCCTTGCTATACCTGAGCCCATCATTGCAGCCACTGTGTCAATTCCTCTCACTGAGGGCCTTCCCCTTCTTCGCTGACCCTCCACTTTACCACACATGACATCCTTCTCCAGGGAATGGTCCCTTCTGACAATATCACCAAAGCAGGTGAGATGAAGTCTGGCCATTCTCGCTTCCAGGGAACATTCTGGCTGCACTTCTTCCAGGACACACTTGTTCATTCTTCTGGCAGTCTATGGTGTTTTCAGACTTCTTAGCCAACACCACAATTCAAAGGTATGAACTCCTCTTCAATCTTCCTTATTCATTGTCCAGCTTTCACATGCGTGTGAGGCCATTGAAAATACCATGGCTTGGGTTAGGCACACCTTAGTCTTCAAAGTGACATC